GGAGACTAGGCGGTTGTCCATTTCCAAAGTAGCTGACGGACGGTGGTACACCACACCCAACAAACATGTGTTCCCACGGCTAGGTTGACGACGACACCAAAGCACATCGACAAACTGAACCTCTGGATCATCGATGAGATCAATGTGTAGTTCCTTGCGATAATAAAGTACTACTCCACCTCCTCTACTTGGTCGATCGTTGCGTAGAATAGACATCCCAGGTAGTGAGATTTCTGCATCAGTGATCGCTTCATTCAATCAGGTCTCGGTTATCCTAACGAGGTCCCTTAACACCGAGGCCTGACGCAGACGAAGCTCTATCAGTTTGCTTAAAAGACCTTGTGCGTTGGTATAAAAACAGAGGTGATTCATGGGTTAGAAGGTTGTTTGTGAATGTAGACAACAGGTTTGAGACTTGGCCGACCCTCTTGAGGTCGGCTGCTACTAGCTTTTTGGAATTGTCTTAGGCTCGCGAGAATGACTTGGGATAACTCTCTGCACCGTGTGATCAGGTTCATGATGATCCTGATGGTCACTCACCTCCTGCAGTGTCTCGCCGGATGCTATGACGGCAGTCACATCAGTCTCTGTGGTGGACTCTGCAACAACGGTTGTACCCACTGAGTTGGTTCTCTCCATGGAGTAACCAGTTGCCTCAGGTCGTAAACTTGCTGCTTTTATTTTAATTTCCGTTGGTAGCATGTTCTGGAATTTACCCCAGTTCTCTAGAACTGTCTGTAAAGTTAGCTCAGACGGAAAGACTAACTTCAGCAACCTAGGACCACACCCTTTGTAATTTAGTGACACGGGAATCCTGGTCAGGGGGGTAGCAATGACATTTTCTAAAGACAGCGCCTCACGAATGTATCGCCATTGCTCCAGGTCATGTGCCTGAGCTTCTTCAGGAGGTGAAGCTTGAGACTCGGGGACGCCATGAATAATGACGGTTTTCAGTGCGTGTTTTCTACTTCCCCGTTGATTGTTCATATCCTTTAAACGTACTTTCCACGGAATATCCGGTAAGATATGTACTCCGTTCGATGCTCTGTGATGTCGATTTGCAGCGAGCAGAATGGATTCTGTTTCTTGCGCAGAATGTAGTGTTACTCGAAGTAGTCGACGTTCACCATAGTGTAAGTTGTTTGGGTGTCTTGCGATGCGGCTCAGCGCAGTGGGTTCAGCGCGCATGCTGATAACACTAAAGATGGAATCCCACTGACAACGATCGTCTATCAGTTTGCCCTTTATTGTGTTGGATTTGGATTCAGGAACTTTAGTGCACACAAGACTTAAGGCATCATGATTCCGCCTTTTGGTTTGCGACTTAACAGCACTAGGTTCTTTTGCTTTTTGTATATTTGTGAACCGCACTGGCGATAGCGATCCATGTTGAGGCACAGTTTTGACCTCTCCGATAAATGGAGTCACAGGTGTCTTTGACGGCGTTTTCCTAGATGCAACCGCTGCATAGGATGTCCAGTTATTTTTTTACCGTAGGCTTGCTGGAGTTTTGTGTGTCGAGTATGTCAACTGAATTACTAGTTATTACACCCTTGGAGGACGTAGTAGCAAGTGGGTTGTAAACTACTTTTTCACTTAAGGGAGTCATGAGGCTAGGGGACGTTGGAGACTGAGACGCGATGGTGGGATTGGGATGCCTGGTCCTCTTCCTCGGCCTAAACGGGGAGTTTGTAGGCGTCCGTTCAGTTTCAAGTATAGCGTTGCTTACTTCCACAGCTGCGTTGCGAGCGTTCACACAACTAACGACAGGAATGGATTTGCACACCTGGCAGAACCAAAATGCCTCGGTTTTGCTGCTGTATTGTCTAGTTTCGAGTGCACTCATCCCTAAACACTTTGAATGGTAGGCTTTTTGACAGTTAAAGCAAACGGGACCAGACTTAACAGTTTTTACACATAGGTCACAATTGATTTTCGTATGAACCACATCCACTTGAGGCGTGTACTTTGTTATTTTGACTTGCATTAATTCCAAAAGCGATTAGATAGAAAAGGAGAGTTCAGAATCTATGTTGTAAATATCTCACTTACCACTAGCTTAGAATGGATAATTCTACTGAACTATGTAGTCGCGCTCAGTAATGGGGCAGCGAAGTAGGAATGACCGCAGATGGTGGTGATATGGTGTAGAGATTCACCACTAACAAGATGGAATGGAGTAACTGGATGTGTACATTACAACTGGGGTAGCAAGAGGATAGAGAGACTGACGCACCGTGTATGACTTCACTTCAGTTTCCTTTGCGCGGCGATCGGCGCTGATTTGAGGTCAGGGGGGTCAGACGTGTGGCGTCCAGATGAGTCACACGTTTCTTAGGGTAGATATGCGACGTGCGTGCTATTGATCCAGTCCGTAAGTGGATAGGTAGCGATGCAACGTAGGACTGAGGCAAGGCAGAACGACTTGGAAAATACTGTCTAGTGACGACAGTGGCTGCACAAAAGGCGGACCAAATTGCCAACTATCGCTTTGTACAGCAACTAGAAGGAGTGGTAGTAAGGTGCTCGGGTGACTCTCAAAAAGATTTTTAAAACAAGACCACCAGAGTTCTTGTGCAACGAGAGGCAAAATAAATTGTCCGATAAAATTCAAGCACGGTTGATTTCCAAATTGCAAAAGCACAGTTTGCTGCTGATCCAGGAATGACAGATCCAAAGGGTGAACAGTGGTAGGAGGAGCTCGCGGAGCCCAATCGAATGATAGTACCTAGGTCACTGTGAGAATAAATCCGAAGATTTCAGGGCGAATAACGCAGGAGGACACTTTTTGCGCGATCACTCGGGGTAGCAGCCACTGTGTGAGGAGGAACTTCAACGATGATGTGGCACACGCGTTACATCGATCGCATTTATCGGCCTGGGTTAGTAAATGGAATCAGAAGCAACGTTTCTCCCAAGCGCTGCGCTGATGACGCTTGCATACTCAGTTGACTTGTCGCCTCTTAGATGCTGACCTCGCGTTGTCACGCTGGCGGTTTGCTAGACGCGCTTGACTAAGGTAGCCGCAAGTGCATGAGCTACAGCACCATACACTTGACGTCGACGAGGTAGACTCCACCGGCGCTTGTCGCTTCCGTACACGGTGTTTCTCCACCGCATGCAGCAGTTAATTCGCATGCGCTTGAGCAACTCCCACTTGTTACGATCTTGCCCTTGGAGCTTATCCATTGCTTTTGATTTCCAGCACTTCAAATTCCCACTTGTTTGTGATGAACTCACCTTGATCAGGCTCTGGTAACGTTTCTACGTTTTTGCCTCCTTCTGCTTCACTGCACTTAGTTGTGCATAGATCAGCTGTTTACATATCATCATCCAATCAATTCGGCTGATATGGTCACTTTACTTCAGGGGCAGCAGCAGTAGTACGCATTCCATTGGATACATGCCACTGTGGCGCAACACTTCCGTGTCAGCAACTCGGCCACCCCAACCGAGGTGCAGAATCTGGTGAAAACACTGTTGATGGAACCGCTCCTAATACCGGACGTCTTTCAGGTACAACGTCCATGTTCCGCCGCCCTACAGAATAACGGACAACACCATCGACCGATACACCGACAGCTTCGTCTTAACGGTCATGTGATGATTGTTCCACACACGTTTCTCCAACTGTTCATATGTATAGGCCTCCTTCGACAGCGGATCCGCTGCTCGCTCATCATTTGGAGGTCGGTCTACAGTACGCTCCCCAGGTAGTAAAAAAACAGGAGGTTTCCAGAACGTCGTTACCAATCTGGATTTGCGATAGCTTCATGGATTCTATCTGACGAATGCCGAAAAGGACAAAGATTCTTGTTAATGTCGATGGTGAGTTTGAACTCTGTCACTATCGAAGCGAGAACCGCCGTCATCCGCTGCAGCACATCCTCACTATGTGCAGACACCAACAGGCGTCAACAAATAGCGACATACGGATGGCTGGAATTAAAATAATTCCCCTTTATTCGAGTTGCTCAGTTCTGTTATGCTGCTGCATATGCCTCATTAATTTTGCGTTTATACTCCTTCAAATTATGTACTTGGCATCCCCAGTTTGGCTGCGCCTGGTGTGCTTGTTTATAAGGGACCTACCTGTCACAAAACAGTTACCTTGATTCCAATAGCTCCATAAAACTGATAATCGTCGCTTGGAGAGGTGGGGTGCCCTGTCTTTTTCATTGCACTAGTTCAAAGAGTGGTTCCATGCATCGACTGTGGAACAGGCTACGGCCTAACGACCACATTGTGTACGTCTGGTATGCATGTTCATCCCCCTTCATCAAACGAATGATATGCATGCTGAAGAAGCGCGGGCCGGCTGCGAATTTAACTTCACTCGCAATTTGATCTTCTCAGTTTTATTTTTTCGGTTTACATTGCATAGGTGTGGTTTGAGCTGTAGGCAATGCAGCGAAATCTACCCATGGTTAGTCCATTAACGCAGAGGTCCTGTGGCTGTTTGCAGTCTCAGCGCCAATCAAACCAGGAGACGGATGCCGTCAGCCTTGTCCTACGGTGGGGTGGTGGTGGTGTGTCAGCTGTACTGCCGTACGACAACCATCAGTCGCACGCGACCATGTCCTATAGGGAACTAGATGGAATATCACTGTGGTTCCATTAGATACTGGTTCAAGTTGCCTGCATTCGCAAACTGATTGGCACTTCAAAACTTACCACGCAATTATCTCCATATGGATTTCAGCGGGGTGTCCAAGACAGACAATGGCGTCAGCTGCAATATGCGGCCGTCACGTGCTTCATGCTACATTGCTACCGCAGCCATGTCCCTTCTTCTCCAGCATATTATACATATGTTTTTCTATCGTAGTGCTTATTTTCTCTCTGCATCTACCATTGCTCTAATTCTCCTATTGTCTAAGTTTTGGACATGTCACTGTGTATTACGTACATGCTTTTTTCACACGAAAGCAGCGCGTATAGATTCAGATCATAGCGTGAGCACTGGCGCTTCCATCATAATGCAAGATTATCTCACTTACTGTTACCGCTTGTTGATTATTGAGACTTTGTAGGTCCTCCTGTTTCTTGGTGAGGCGTTGCTGCATAGCTTCTTTTTTATTCATTTCTTCAAACATCGTACGCAGAACGCGCGAGTGTTCCTCTTTACATGAACAATTGTTTTGGACTGAAACAAATATCTGGTTAAGTCACAATAGGCTGTGTATTCAGGTAATATGATTCCCCTTACTTGAGAACTTACCAGATCTTGGATTCTTACTCTCCTGCTTGCAAATCCTCTCCACAATCTGGGTCGAGCGTTCATGCATTGAGCGTATCTGTGCTCTGCAAACTTCCAGGTCATCCTGCCATTAAAAAGATGAAACACATGTACCATGAATTTTTCATAGATGACCTCCTAGATCATCGCATATAGCGAATTTCAGCTTGACTTTTTGAACCCAGTATGAAATAAGCGAAGAAATGTGATCGATCCTATACTGTCGTCACTTGCAGAATTTTCGTGAGTGTCAGTGTCTTTTTAATGACACCGATTGTACAACTTGGGAGTGAGCGTTCGCTTTCTTGATGTCAGAATACCTTAATTTTATAGTTAACATATAACGGATTGTTTTCCTTTCTACGTGTTCACACACGGATTGTGTTACATGGACCTATTTCTTTGCTGCTTCGTTCTGACCATACGTCTCGTCATTCCCAATGAGCACCTAAGAGGTTGCTGACGTTTACGGGGCACCACATGCCTTCATTTGGCCCGAATGCGATCTGCCAGATCCTTTCCAGGTCCATGTTCATTGAGCTAACAGGACGACACTAGCACCAATATCAGATCCGTTTGTTATCAGCGTTTCGTTAAATAATTTGACTGGTCTATAGTAGATGTTTGCGGCCACGATCTACACACATTTCGTGCAGGTGTGTTTTCATTTCGCACTCACTAGTTTCCGGGTGTAGTTACCTAGACAAAGCCATCGCATTTAGGCGGTGGTACATGCATCTTAGTCGCGATGTTCGTATAACTTCTCATTTCAACGAGGTTAGTAGAAAACAACCAGCGAAGACGTCAACTTGGGCTGACTGGGTTGGTTAACACTGGTGAACCGTATTTCCTCATTGTCAACCACTGGGGTTAACTCGCGGCACGTGATTCCCAATCGGTAGTGCTTACACAAGGTCATCATCAGACTTATTTACACTATTATCACTGGCTACCTGGCGTTCACGTTCGGCATAGCGTACTGCATGTCAAACTCCAACCTGGCAATGCATACAAGCAGGTACTTTCGGACTCAGGTTGACTTAGGTTGACCACGTCGATATCTATTTTAACTTATTACTGCTAGTGACACTGACGATGTTATCGTATATGCAAATGAATCGCTCATCTGTGAACAAGTTGTTTTGTCGCCGCTCTCACTTGCACCGTCACACAAACGTGTGTTTACACTCATTCGACCCAGATTCATTAGCGCCATTTAGTGCACTCCATCGTTCGGATCTAGCTTGTGTGGAGCGCCTTTCATCTCCACATTGCAATTTTTGCGCAATTCCCGCAAAAACATAATCGAGGAATTTTCCGAATCTCGAAACACACAGAAATATTTGTGGTCTTAAACGAAAGCCAACTACACGTATCATCTGAGGAATTAGCAACTACAGCTGTGGACTGTTCATCAAAGTAGCTATAGTACACATTGTGTCCGTATCGCGCAGTCGCTCTGTTTGCCGCGTGAGCCATCTTGCTGCATACATCTGCCCCGCCTGCGCCAGACGCATAGAATGTGACGATCTTGAATATGCAGACAATTCAGCGCACACGCGACCGGAAGGAAACCATAAGCGCTCGGATCTATCTGGGAATACCACCGATCGACGCAATGAATAGTGGCAACCAATCAGAAGCCCATGTTACCGCATCTAGATCGACGGTAATTTGTGGTCTTCCTTCACGCCATACAAATATACGGATTGGAATCCAGCATGGCAGTTGCCAAAGCAATTTCCATCACAAATGTTCCAAGCTCACAGTGAACGAGTTGAAGCTACACAATAGTAAACCAGATTCACTGTGGTTCTCTTCCGTATATATACTCAGCCCACTGGTAAAGATTGTACATGAACTATCTCAGAATTACGAAGGACTAGTGGCAATGTTTGAACAAATGTGGAGCACGAGAGGCGATTCATTTGTAGAAAGCTTGGCAAAGAGTACATCCCAGTCATTCCCATCAAGCACAGCATTAAAACGGCGAAAGAAGGCTAGGCGGCATGCTAAAAAGGCATGGTCTGTGGCATTAAATGACAATACCACCAGTTTCTCAAATATGACTGAAACAACCACCGCCAGTCCGACTGGGATGATCATGGTCAAGGCCACGAACACACTCAAAGCGGTTCCGAAAATTCAGAGGAGATTCGGCACCGCTGGTTGTTGGAACGTGGTTGCTGCGAAAGGTGACTGGAAACCAGTATCTTCGGCCATTCCCACTGGACCCATAGCAAATGAAGAAGACGAAGCTATACCCATATATCAACCGCATACAGACCAGCTGTTCGCTTGACCTCAACCAGAGTTGCATGCAGTATACCGGCAGTAGTATGTACCAACGTTTCAGAATCGACCTCAAATTCCTTAAGAAGAAAACAACTCGATGACGTGAACCAGTGGAACTCCATGTGTGACACTGTGTATGTTGTAACTTCGCCCGTTAATTTGACACGCGTTACTCGTTACCCAAACTCACAGCACTACGGTGAACCAAGAATTATCCGAGTTGTGTTGACTTTTGCCAATGAAGAGCAAGCTGTTCTGTTATCGACAGCTCGCCTCCGGAATGGGTCATGTTCCATCCGCCTGTTCCCGGATCTACCGTGGAGCGAGCACAGACAGGCGAAGCACTACTTGGACGAAAGCCGGAAGGAATCCGTAGCCAGGACCATCCTTGTACCCGGTGTTCCCGAGGCTGGAATTCATGATGAGCGTGAAGCGACCACCCACGGCCAGGAACAATGACGGTACCCGCGCGAGACCCTTTCCCTGGAAAACATCATAGCGCAATCAATCTCGAGGCAAACTACAAACGATGTAACCCGAGTGTTGTGAAAGTGGTCCTTCAGTCTAGACAAATGTCAGCAATGGTAGTGGAGGGATGGTATGCGGGCTGCAGCAGCCTTCCTTCCGAGCTCCGGACCAAAGCAGCATCTGCTAAGCAAACATAAGAGAGCAGACACTTAGTCACACCACTTATCGACAAGAGTTCGGATAACTTCAATCAACTAGCCAACGAAACTGGTAAACACACTCCATACAATGTCTGCAAAGTGAGAAGCAAAGAGGCAATGGTAGGATCCATGAGTCGGACAAAGATGAGTTCATCATCTCCCCACCCGAAAGACAATTATTTGCTGACATTTTACCGGTCGGCACAACATTTTATTTAAAACACGCACCCCACCATTCAATGCTAAAAACAGCGAACCGGTGGCCGATCCGGAAATGCTGCTCATTGATTCACTGGTGCAGTCTGCAACTGAGACGCCACGGCACTTGCCATCTGGCCGTTGTTTATCTTCCCACAACGTCCACGCCAGAGATGGAAACCCGCCTGACATAATCCTTGGGAAAGGTCCTACGAGGATGATACAGTCATGTTCTCATCTCAAGCGACTTCTATCTTCAGGATTTGGTAGTTATGGCATCCCCCAACGAGCAATTCAAGGCCGACGTGCAAGAGTATATTGAAAGCATTCCGCGCTTTAGCCATGTCAGTTCTCCCACCCGAATCAGAGCCGGAAATAAACCATCAGTGCTTGATTTAATGTTCACGAACGAAGAGCTCAGCGGTGCGAAACCAAGACTGGAGAGTCCTCTGTGGCGAAACGGCAACGTACCCATAATTTACGACTTCGTGTATTATCCGGAGTATCCACACGAACATACTAACTTAATTGTGGATGTTTGTGAGTGGCGTAATGTTCGTAGAAAGTAGAAGTCACAATTAGCATTCACACACAATAATGTGCCTCGACGGGGAATCGAACCCCGTCCAACGAATTCCCGGTCCGCTGCTCTACCACTAACCTACCGAGGGCTGACGATTAGGTGCACAATTTTTAATTCATGACTTCTGCTTGACACGCGACGTATTGCCAATGAGCTCACAGTATCTGTCCTGGTGTTGCAGATTGGCTCACTCATCCGTTACTTCCCAATGGACTGAAGTATCTGTACTTCAGATGTCCAAAGGGCAATGGCAGATTAACTGTGGAGGTTTGTGAGTAGTATAAAGTTCGTAGAAAGTAGAAGTCACAATTAAAATTCACAAGCCATAATGTGCCTCGACGAGGAATCGAAAACGGTAGCTCAGTGGTAGAGCAGCGGACCGGGAATTCGTTGGACGGGGTTCGATTCCCCGTCGAGGCACATTATTGTGTGTGAATTTTAATCGTGACTTCTACTTTCTAAGAACATACTAACTTGTTTCGAACGATCACTCACTACGACAGACTGGCAGAACTTGTGGGAGATGCTAGTTGGGCGTTTCCGGAAGACTGTTCCATTGAAAGTGCTCTGTTGGATTTTACTGGCAAGTTCATTGGTCTGAGTAAATCTGCATCGCTCAACACACCCCTTCGTTCTGCAAGGGCACAATTATTCATTCGGAGTAAAACTGGAAAACTCATGGTAGTAAGAGACGCCGCGTGGCATGTGTGTAGAGCGGATCCTAGCCCTGACAACTAGAGTAAGTATGTTGTGTATCGTGATCACTGTACCAGACCTGCGCACGAGGACAAATTGGTACACCCATACCGCCTAGCGGAAACGTTTGATGTTGACAGAAAACCCGTACAGACATGTGAACAGCCTCCGGAATGTGAAACGTGGTGTGCCCCCACTAATATCAGCGGATGGGTGTGCTCAAACCGCCAAAAATGCAGCAAAAGTTCTACGGCTACCATATGCCCCAATTTTCCGACGAGCTCTCAGCATTTATAGCATGCCTGTCCAATTCTCCCAAATACCAGTAGTCACACGTCATGTTTAGTTCAGAGACCATTTTGAAGAAGCGGCTATCGTTGCGCTCCCATAGTTCCCCCGAAGTTGACACCATTCCCCTGAAAGCGCTGCAGGTGTCAGATCGGAGGATCGCTGGTCCATTAACGAGATTTTTCTAAAGATGCCTGGACGAACAGCAAGTCACTAGCACGTGGAAGCAAGGCATCATTACCCCGATTTTCAAAAGTGGTGGCTGTTCAGAGCTAGCCAACTATCGTCCAGTGTTTCTCCTCTCAGTGCTCTCTAAGGTGATGAAATCGATCATAGCTTAGGCTCTTATGGGCTACTTCGAAAGGTCTAACTTCATAGCACCTGAGCAACACGGATCCCGTTAGCATCGGTCAGGTACTACCAACATACTGTTTGCCCGTGGCAGTTGGACCGAGATAGCCGACAGTGGGACCGGCATTGATGTCATTTACCTATTACAACGCATTCGACCGCATAGATCACCGTATCCTTCTCCAAAAGCTGCAAGTATACGGAGTTGGAAACCCTGTCCTTGGATGGATCGAAAACTTCCGCCTTCAGCGGCGCCTTCAGGTTTGAGTTCGATGTTCATTCTCTGATCCAAAGGGGGTGTTCCACAATAGTAGTTGTTGGGACCGCGGTTATTCCTGTTCTTCATTAACGACCTTGCGAGTGTCATCAAGTCAAATTTCCAGCTTTTTGCCGAGAACATCAAGATATGGCGGACAATCGACTTTCACGATATGTTACAACGAGAGTTAGACTGCGCTTTTGAATGGTCAAAGTTAAATCGACCTCAGTTTAACACGGACAAGTGTAAAACAGTGCGTGTCCGCCACTAACTCACATACGCATATAAGCCTGGAGACGACCTGCTGAAAACCTCCTCACAAGAGCGAGACCTCGGGGTGATGATGCAGGACGACCTCGGCTGTTCGGTGCAATCCTTAAAGGCGTCAAAATCTGCGAACCAACATGTTGGTCTGTTACGGATGGCGTTTGGGAGGTTTGAACTTCCCATCTTACCCCGAAAGCTCAATGGGTAGGCGAGGGCCCATGTAGAGTACGTGATGCAGTCTTGGCAACTCTGGTTAAAAAGCGATTTGGTTGCACTGCAGACCGCACAGCGACGAGAAATAAAAAATGTGAAAGGGTTGTCTCACCTGCAATACTAGAGGCGACTGAAAACCCTGGGAGTGTACAGCGATGATATCGTCGTCTACGGGGTAACCTCATCCCGGCGCTCCAGCTTTTGACAAACCCATGTCACGCTTGCAGACATCCCCTGAAGCTTAGCTGCAACACGGAATTGAAAGGTCCTAAATTGAAACTTACCATCCAATACATTCGACTTGAGTGTCGCTGGAATTATTTTTACCATCGAGTTTGTCAACCGTAGAACGCTCTTTCGATTTTGGTCATTTTCGCGCCCACGGTACCCATTTTTTAAAACGGAAACGACGATGTTTTAGACCACTTACATTACTTGATCTGATTTCTAATAAATGAGTGACGACAAGACTCAGACGAACATTGTGCTCAGCAACCCCACGAAATCGTGGTAGACGGATAGACTTATGTGTTAACGTGGATGAGATAATGAGTCAACAGATGTGTTTTTCACTGTCGTTTAACTAACGTTATTCCCACAAAGCACCTCATGGGACTGTTCAAGCCTTGGCTCTGTATCCGTATTATACCGTCGTTGCATAGTTCCATAAGGAATTTCATGCAATATCAACTTTCCATCCGGATAAGCTTAAGGAACAACAGAAGCTTTGTATAGTATTTGCGGGGAAAGAATTCCAAGTATATCTCGTATTTAGTTCAACTCCTCAGTGTTTGCTGTAAGTCAAAGGGCTGAGGTATTTCACCCTCCTCATTCGAATTTCGCGATTATCATAACTTGGTGGCTCATGAGGACGGTATCCTTAGGAAGTCTCAGTCAGCGTTATATGTATGTTTTACTCTCTCGCGGAACTGTACGGTGCCATCGGTTTCGTACATATTTGCATTTAGCAGGCAGACATAGTAGGACTTTGACTCGAACGAGAGGAACGTACGCAGGAACCTTCACATTTATACCGCATAGTCGCTGCGGACAACGCTTGTCACGACGATTGATGAATTATTGGAGTGGTCAGTTTTGGGCACCAATGCAATTTGATTACGACACCTAATCTCAAGCAAGACCTGGATTCGTGCTGAAGCGAATTTCCGCCAAATCGAACGCTTGGGTTGTATTAGAAATTCACTTAACGTTAAACACAGCTCTGACTGAGATTACGCGTCGCAACCCTGTCAGTGTTCTTTGGGCTAGCAGCCACAATGTTAAAGCTTTGAAGTGGACCTGATGTTGTCATTGCTTGCAGCGAACCAGTTCATGATTTAAGCGACTGTTCGGAACCAGGCCATTGTTTAGGTTAACTTGATATAGGCTTATTATATTAGTTAGGCTTCGGATGGGATCCATTTCACGAATATCATGCTTATGATGCGATATTAAATGATTTCACCATTAGCATCCTCATTTACCCTCACCTTTACCAAGCCTGCAGACTATGTCACCTAGTTTGGCATTCCAATGTAGATATGTAGCTTTTCTCTGGGCAACTGCGTTTTCATGGACCTCACCTTTACGTGTTCTTTTGCCTCTCTGAAAGCCTCCTTTAGCATCTTCAGTTGGTCCACTAGAGATGTAACGTTCTTTAGAGATTGAAACAGGGTGTTGTACTAGAGAGTAAACAAGAAGGGAACACTGCTAATTTCGAGTCTGCTAATTAGAATCAAAAGATGGCTGAATGACTTACCTCTTCTGACTCCTCAACTACTTCCCTTTTGTGGCCCTGTGTATCGGTTACGTCTGAGACAGACTGTATTTAAGAGCAAGTAGAAGGGTTTCTGTATAACTCTATCGAATTACGAAAAATCAAAAACATTTAGTTGTGAATCATCAGCAGTTGTGTTTAGTCCGTTAATCGTTTATCTTTGTTCGGTTAGGAATTCGTACTAGTATCATTATTTCCGGGCATACAATGTCTTGTTTTAGCATTGTATGTGCATCGTTTCACAAAAGCACAGTTTTCCGAAATAATCGTCGATACGGGTTTTAAAACACTGCACAGAATCGGCCTCTATTAATCCTTCGGGTAGTGCATTCCATAAGTTTACGATTCTTCGATACAAAGGTGCTGTGATACTTTGTTCACGCTGGGGACGTTGAGTTTGTTACGGTGTCCTCGGGTGTTACAGGGTTCCTGCAGGTGAAATATTGGCCGCAGCATGGGGAAGTGTAGTACTTTTGTAGACTCGGTATCATTCTAGTTGCGATATGCTGTATTTTCTCCAGCTTTTCAGTTTCCCATTGGGTTATCGGATGGTAAGCTGGGGCACCGTATTCAAGGATTGGTCTAATGAGCGAGGTGAATAGACGAGGGACGGTTTCTTTGGACCATGTGGAGAAACTGCGTCTTAATGCCCAGAGCATACGAAGTCCCGCACGGTACAATTTCTCTGTATTTTCTAGTGATCTCATATCATGTCGTGAGAGAACTCCTAAGTCTCTGACAGATGTGTTGGGATGGAGCAACTGGCCGTCCAAGGTGTATGATCGAGTGGCTGGACTTCTGGTGATACTGATGAACTCCGACTTGCTTGCGTTAAGAGGGAGTTGCATTACAGTGGACCATATTGACAGTCGCTCTAAGTCATGCTGAAGGCGAGCGCAGTCGTCCTGGTTCTCAATGATCCTTCAGATTTCCAAATAATCTGCAAACAGGACACATGATGACTGGAGCTGCTGCGGGAGATCGTTGATATGAATAAGAAATAATACTGGCCCAAGTACAGTTCCTTGAGGCACACCACTAGTCGATGGAAACCAGTCTGTCAGGTAGTCATCGACCTGTACTCTGGACTTTCTTCCCACAATAAACTCGTGTAACCACTGAAGTAAAGTGCCACCGATTCCGTATGTCCTCAGTTTACCAAGAAGTACCTCGTGGTTCACTCTGTCAAACCCCTTACTGAAGTCGATGTACACCACATCAACATCCTTCCGTTCGTTGAGAGCTCGTACCCACTGGTGGTTTGCGTACATCAAGTTGGTGATGCAGGATCACCCTTTCGTAAAGCCGTGTTGCGCTGGCGCCAATACGTCCATGGATTCAAAGAACCATAGCATACACTTTTTTACAACCTTCTCGTGCACTTTGGATAATACCGAAGTCTAGCAGATCGGTCTATAGTTCTCTAGTTTACTCGGATCACCACCCTTGGGAAGCGGTCTCACTGTCGAGCATTTCCAGTCGTTCCGGACAGATACTTCAGAGAGCCGATTTATCGAAAAGGTTTGTCACGGCTGGGGTGATGACAATCGATAGGGACTTGAGTATTAGTGGGTGAAATCCGTCTGGTCCGGGGGGCTTTGCACCATCGAGATCGACGAGTAGCTGATACACTTCGACTGCATCACATTGTAGGCTGTTGAGAAAGGCTGACGCAACCTGTGCCGGTACTGAAACCGCCGCCGGTGTACTGGAAAATACAGTGAAGAAGTGCGTAGCCAAGGCGTTCGCGCGCTCCGCGCTTGAAATGAGCGTCTTTCCGTCTAAGCTCTCTAAGGTCGGTAGGTCGCCCCCAGGTTTCAGTTGACGTTTCAAGTAGGCAAATATTCTTTTGGGTGCAGTTGTGGCCGAGGATGCTAGATCCTCTTCGAACTGCCGGCGTTCCTTGATCTTTGTGGCGTGACATAAGTAACACTGTGTCTTGTACACCGTGTAATCTTCATCAAAACCCGAGCTGACGTATCCATCCCAAAGTTTGCGACGCGGTCGCGCTAACTGTCTATATTCCGTATCAAGCCAGTGCGGTTTGACAGGCCCGATCTTTGAATACCTAAGGGGAACGAACCGAGTGCAGAGCGAGCTAAGCTTCCCCTCCATTAATGACCAACACGCCTCAAGTGACGCATTCTGTGGTAGTGTCCAATCAGGCTGACTTGCAGCTTGGACGAGCCCGTTGAGGTGCGTCTTCCAATAGTTGAATGTCGGCTTCTTTTGATTGTAATATGGTAACGACAGTTCTAAGCATGCCACAATGGAGCAGCGGTCACTGTTCGCCAGACGTTCGATGACTCTGATCTCGTTCAGCTTCTGCTCGCAGCTCGTAAACATTAGGTCCAGACAAGATGCCGAGTACGGAGTTACGCGCGTCGGTTGGAGGACATGTTGCGTTGCCCCGATTTCAATAGTCATTTTAGCGAATAGAGCCTCGACGTTGCCATGACCGGGAAGAAGTCGAACGTCTGGCCAAAATATCTTACGTAAATTTAGATCCCCCATCAGTAAGAACTGAGGGCGGCTCATGTGCTTCTGTACATGTGGTGGCCAATCGCAACAACGGTTTAATGGGCTCCGGTAGATAACCCCCACTATTAGTTCCGCGCGCCTGATCGCATAAACTATCCTCGCTCCGATAGGTGCTGGTAAGTTTGCCAGATAGTGACGATTTCATGTACAACAGAACACCACCGTGAGCCTTTGATTTTCGGTCGCATCGGAAACAAGAGTATCCTGACAACACGACTTCTTGGGGTATGACGTCGGAGTTCAGCCAAGTTTCTGCAAGTCCTAAAACGTCCAGCCGCTCCGAGACAGCGAAGCAGCACAGTTCGTCACCTTTGTTCATTAGGCTGCACACGTTGGCGAATGCGACACGGAGGTCCTGGGAGGTACTGCGGGACGTGCCTGGAGGTTGAGCAACCGGTTGATACGGGTTCGTACACCCTTCTTGATCACCCGAAAATTTAGAATTTGTAAGTCAGTCTCACCTTCCTCTGTACGGCGTTTGAGCTCAATGACCGCAGTCTCCAAACGATCCCTGTCTTTGGGTTCCAAGTCTTGGCGGATGTGAACTTTATGCCTTTCAGCCTTGACAGACGAGACAGCATGAGCTGCGGCATATTAGGATTTGCGAAGGTGATTCTCAGAGGTCGACATTACTGGTTAGTTTTCTGGCCAAGTCGGATTACTTGTTTAATCGTCACACTGTCTTCGCCCACATTCAAGAGTCTATCGATGAGCCCCTGGATGAATTCAACATCCTGCTCAAAACGTATCTGAGGGTTTTTATCTTTTGACTCCCGTACGTGGAAGACCATGAGATTATGACGCCTCAACGAAATCAGTGATGAACCTGTGGGAGCAGAACTAGAGGCGCTTAACTGATTGGATTGTTGTTTATCAGCAGTTGACGTCTGAATTCCATTACGTGGGCCCTTGAGCTTTGAGTGGTCCATGGATCCTCGGTGTTCAGAAGTTTGCAGACAGGCTCTGAGAAATTCACGGACCGATCCTTGAAGCGATACTTCGTAGCCTCCGAGTCTGAGTCTCCCATCGGTGGGGTACATTGAACTTGCGGCTCGGCCGGGGTCGAAGACGCTGGTGGTGGTGCAGATCGCAGAGTGATAATAGAAGGCGAGGTGACAGAGGTACTTTCACGAGGGCGATTGATCCCTCGTGGTGAAAGGTTTGTTTCTATCTGAAAGAGAGATTTTCTCGCAGTTGTATATCAAACTCCAATAGCTCCGTGTGTAATGAACTGGCATACACCGATAGCCATTAACAATGACGCGCTTAGCGTCTACACTTTTCTGATCCATGAAAATAATTCAGTTGGCAGTAAAAGCGGCGAGTCCCCCGCGTTCTTCAAAGTATCAGATGAACGATTCGTGGCTAGCGGGTGCACATCGTCTTGTTATCACATCATCTCAAGTACATTCACCTGCCGCCGTATCACACAGCATCGATTAAAAGGGAGTAGAGGGGGAGTTTCACGGTATATGTGAAATACAATTCACGAAGCTGAATGTTTCTACTGGCAATCTACAAGTACAGAAGAGTAGTAGGGGGAGTTGAATGGTATAGGTAGCATTTCGTCACATCTAGGCTCACTCAGACAGCCGCCACAAGCCCGGAAAAGCACTGTACGCGCGTTTCATCCTTTCGGGAATCATCAGCAGTGCGCATTCCATCGGACTGGCAACAGTCGAGTTGCGGTTTCGAGCCCTGCCAAGGGTCCGATGGAATGCGCACTGCTGATGATTCCCGAAAGGATGAAACGCGCGTACAGTGCTTTTCCGGGCTTGTGGCGGCTGTCTGAGTGAGCCTAGATGTGACGAAATTCTACCTAAATCTACAAGTAGTTAGTTCCCTTCAACAATTTGAAAAGCACGGAAAGAAGACGAAGGCTGGTACATGCATGCATTTCGTATTGTCTCCTCAGTACCATTAACAATAACCGATAAGCATAGATATAGCTAACAGTGGGTGCAACCAGACAAGCTTAAGGTGCAAAATGAATGACCGAAGTTCACACCTACGTCCAAGGCAGCTTTAGGCTGACAAATAATTGTTTCTGAACACACAAGGCTGGCTTAATCCGGCTACTTGCGACAGCCTCAGCAAACCGAAGGAAGCGGGGATTAGTGTGACATAACACAACTTTAAACGTTGATCCCAGCTCTAATTGGTGACCCGAGTCTAATAGGTGTTTGCCTATCGAGGAAGCCGGCGATCTGCGCGAACATGGAATCTGACGAGGGTGGGCAATCTGAGCAACTTCACGTTGAACCCATCTTGGCACATGTTCCTTTATTCGGGAGGTCAGCGTTCTATTGGTTCTGCCTATGTAAATTTTTCCGCAGTCACATACAAATTGGTATACACAGTGTG